GCTTCCCTACCGTCCCCGCCCCGCCCAGCGCGCCCCAGCTCCGCCCCGCGCTCCCAGGCCGCGTTTCAGGCCCCGCCCCCACGCGTCCCAGGCCCCGCCCCCGCGCTCCCCGGACGTGCGGGCGCCCAGCGCCACCTGAGTGCCTTGGGGCTCTGCGCTCGCAGCTCACCGTGCTCCGCACCGTTTGCAGCTTGGTGAGTGTCTGGGCTGCCTCCCTCCGCGCACAGTGCGGGGCTCTACCTGGGGAGAGCGGGCTTCTGGAGCCCGTGAGACAGTCGCAGCCACGAGTGGCCCCAACGGGTCCCCTTCCCTCGCCGTCGGGGCTGGGGGCCGTCCTGACCCCCACCCACCCGGACGGGACCCGCGTGTGTTCCAGGTGGTCCACCCAGGTGTGCCCGGCCTTCCATGGGCCTGGGATTCGAGGACCACCTTGCGCTGAGGTGACAGTTACCTGGCGTGGACTGGGGGTCGTGGCACCCCGCCTCACCTCCAGGTGGCCGACACCGTCGACGGCTCTGCCAGACCCGTGCCCGGGCCCTGCGCCCTCCCTCATGCCCTTCACTGCTCACCAGCGCCAGGGGCCCGTCGCTTCACCGTCTGTTCCTGGAAGCTTCCAGAAGGCCCTGCTCTGGCCCTTCACGCCCTTAGCATTCTCCTTCCTGGTGCAGAATCCCATATTTCCTAATTCATTGAGACGGACAGCTCGGGAAGAGGACCAGGATCCTCCTCGCTGTCAGGGCTGGTGTTTGTACACATTAGGCCCTGCGTCCATAAACACTTAGAGTAAAACAAGTGGAGCTTGAGAGCCACTGACACTCGCCACCGTAATTCCCAAGTCGGTGATAGTACAGTAGAGTAGTTTTAAACTATGTATCCTCACTGGGTGGGTTCATCATTTCCTGGCTTTCAGTCCTGGTCGGCAGATTTTACGTATCTGGGGACAACTTTTGCTTGGTTGGGCCATCATCAGACATAGAGAAGTGCCTGTGTCCAGAGGGGGGTCCCCACAGCTGTTAGTAGCAGAATGTTCACCTGTTGAACCGAAAGAGCTAAGAATTAGACGTGTTATTTAAATATAAACGAAAATATAAACCCCTGGAGATCTGTTAAGTCAAAACCTCTTCATCTCCATCTCTGAACAGATAATTAGGAGATGGTTTTGTTATTTTCGTGGATCTCAATGGCTAAGACACTCAGGGAAGTAAAAAAACATTTTTAGAAAAATGCTTAGCACACTGGGTTGGGGAGTAAAAAAATTGAAGGAAACCATGTCAAGAGCCCAGCTGGTAGTTAATATCCTGTTAACTCAGCTCCCGGCATTAGCCAGGACCAGAGCCTGCAGGCAGCAAAGGAGAGTTGGCCTTGCTCCGTCAGGTGTTCATTTCTTCTTGGGTTAGCCGTCTCCAGTTGGAATTTGAATGTCAGGGTGGCATCTGTTACAGTTTTGGGGCAGGAGGAACCAGGTCTCAAGTAAGGAGCTATACTAGGATGCTTTTCTATGTAAATATTCTTTTCATTAAAAAATCTGCAATAGCTGGATTTAACTAACGTTAGGCACTACTTTAAAAGGCTTCCCTGTTAGCAAGGTTTAAAGAAAGCCCTAGGCACACATTGGTTAACATCTCATTGTTTTCAGCTGCTCAGAAGCTTTAGCCTCTGTCTGGGTCTCCTTCCCTGTCTGCTGAGTCTCACCTGGGCCTTGTCTTCCACTCACTCCTTCCAGCCCCACGGTTCTGTCTCAGGTGTCTGCACAGGGGCTCGTCTGTCTTTCACGCGGGGAAGGAGGGGAAGGGAAGGCCGAGGAGGAGATCACCTTCCCTGGGGACCCTCTGCGTTCTTTTCCCCTCCAGTCCTCTCTCCTTTCTCAGGAAACCAAAACATTTTACTCCATATTTTTTTAATAAAATAAACTTAAGTCGTTTTTATTTTTATTATTTTGCAGAGGACAAACATTTAGGAGCCAGTGATTCAAACCACTAAGACTTCTAACTCTCCCTTTTTTTGGCCTTAATGTCCTTTTCAGTTTACAGTATATTCTCTTTGATAGAGGAAAATGGAGGCATTTTCTTAATCCTTTTCCTCGGGTCGCCTGCTAACATTCTTCATTTGTTTGCACACTTCACTCTGATCCTGCGTAGCCCCCTTGCTCCAGTGTAAAGTTTGTTGTCTAGATTCACTTCCCTTGTGGTTTTTGACTTCCCGCTGGGTCTCTGGTCATTCCAAGCATGTACATTGAGCCTCCCATGTCCTGAGCTCATTGGGCTACTGCCACTGTCCCCTCTGACCCTCTGTTTCCTGGGATAGGAATGTTTTGATAGAGCTACTTTCTGGAACAACCGGGGTCTTATTGCAGAATACTATTTAAACAAAACCAGAAGGTTTGAAAATCAGACATATAAACCATAACGTTACCATTGGACGAGAGTGGATTCTCCAGACTTTTCTTAGACACCTGTAGTAAACAGCCAGCCCAACACCCCATTCTTGGTTTGATGTGGAAGTGAAAGGGTTCATCTGGGAAGGGGAGATGGTTTCTGTCGGCAGACAGCATGGGTTTTCCCATCCCTTTAGCTCTAAGGGCCTATCTTGGGCAAAGATAGGTAAAAAGTTTGAGACCCAGTGTTGTGGACTGAATACTGTGTGATGTGTGTTCTGTGGCACTGGGTGACAGCTGCATCTGTGCTGGGCAGTGGAAGTAATATAGTTTTCTTCTGACTTAAAAAAAAAATTAACAGTATGAAAGAGCTTGTTTTAGTACATTTTGTGTTGCTATAACAGAATTACCTGAGACTGGGTAATTTATAAAGGAAAGAGGTTTATTTGGCTTACAATTCTGGGACAGCTGCATCTGGCATGGGCCTCAGGCTGCTTCTACTCATGGCGGAAAGTGGCAGGCAGCCATCAGGTACAAGCAGATCACATGGCGAGAGGCAGCAAGAGAGAGAGAGAAGGTGCCAGCGTCTTTTTAAGCAATGAGCTCTCGCTGGAACTAATAGAGCGAGAACTCACTCATTAATCCCCCCTCCCCCAGGGAGAGCATTAATCCATTCATGAGGGATCCGCCCCCATGACTCAATCAGTTTCCAACACTGCCACATTGGAGATCAAATTTCCACATGAGTTTTGGAGGGGACAACACACCCAAACTCCATCAGAGCTTATATAGGAGGGCTGCATAGTTTGGGGAAATCCGTATAATGAATGTATGGTATGTAATGAGTGACTTCCTCCTTCATATAACTATTATAATGATTGGTCTAAGAAGAGGAATAAGTCATTTTCATCGTCTTTTGTAACCTTTGAGGGTATCAGCTGTGGCTCACGTGTAAATGGGTTGAAGACACTGTCTTGCCCAAGTGCTTGGGGTCTCGTGCAGCCACCCTTCTGACGGCTGCTGCAGCTAAATAACTGAATAGGCTGCCCCAGGGACCACGGACACAGTGGTGACACCCTGGGTCATGTGTTGAATGTTGAAACTTGTTTACAACACCACAAATTATTTTCAATTAAATCGGTGGTGTAGCAGTGGAGTGGAGGTCTCCAAGGAGGCTTCGTGTCCCCCTTACCCCACCTGCAGTGAACTCATTTGGCCTGTGATGTAGCTGTTGTAAAGCCAGTTAAAAATTCTACAAAAACTTATTTTTGGGGTTGTTAAATTTGTCATTGTGTGGTCGTGTGGGTATGTGCATAACCTGAAAGGGACTGTGAGAGAGCAATAAATGCCTAGTGTGTGCACTCTACTACTTCTAAAAATTTCTTGTTAGAATAATTTCCTACCCGTAACACTTGTGAAGTCAGCAAAGTTTCCAACCCCAGCTCTGAGGCCCGTTCCCAGAAGTCCGGGGGCAACCCTGGATGCAGAGTCCACCAATGGCGTGGCTCGTAAAAGCAGGCACTTGTTAAATCTATTTGTTTTTATTATAGACATCGATCTGCCAGTCGCCATAATGCATTTATGGACATTTTTCTGCAAGCACAGCTCTGGTGGCAGTTTTTACTGACAAATTGAGTCATATGGATAGTAGTTTAGAAAACTCTTACCTTATTGACAGATTGGGCAATTCTAGCACTGAATGTTCTGAGATGGGTGAAGAGGGTGAATGAATCTCAGGGCAAATAGAAGATGGGACGTTAAATGTTGAAATGTAATAAATAACGTAGTTATTTCTCATTTGTTTTCAAACAGCTACATCTTAGTCCTCGATACAAAGGACTACAGTAAAGGGCCAGGAGTGTCACCTTTAGGTTTGACTGTCCTGCTGATGTGGTTAGTAAGAGCCATCCCTGGCATGTGGCTCTAGTAAGGCCTGATGAGTCACAGCCCCTGGAATGCTCCCCATAGAGTGGGATATTCATGAGCAACAGAAGAGCAGCATTTCTTCAGAGGTGGTCTGAGCTCTGCTGGTATCGGAATTACTGAAGGTGCTGGGATTCTGGTGGACCCCAGTGTTTGAGCACCTCTAGGGCAGTCCTTAGGATTGGTTGGGAACTAGTGCTCTCCAGACCAGAAAGGCTCCAGAGTTCCCCTTCCAGATGGATCTGTTCACAGCCAGCACTGTTCTGAGTTGCCTGTGCATATGTATCTGTGTATGGTTTTGTAACTCCTTAGAGAAATGTGAATTTCTTCAAAATGCAAACCCAACGTGTTATCATAGCAATACAATTTTTGGTTTTGTGGTTATGACAAAAGATGCAGATATTACCAAAACTTTGGCATTAGTTTTACAAACATGTGAAGCATGGACAGCCGTACTATATTTCACTCCTCTATTTCCTGTTGAGTGGGTTGTGTTTAGTTTCTCCCCCTCTGGGTGGAAGCGTTTTCATGGTCTCAGGTGAGGGTTCACTGAATGCACCTTTGTGGGACTGAATTGAGTTTGTATGTAGAAGTGTGAGTTGTGTGTGGGGAGAACCATGGGAGTGGTTCTGACTATGCCATTTACTAGCTGAGTGACATTGAACAACTTTTAACCCTGACCCCAGGCACCTCCTCGTCTACCGGATGGAGATGGTCACACTTATTTTTTCTACCTGGGTAAGCATAAGCACATGGAATAATAAATGATTATTTTGTAAAGTAAAAAGCACTACATGGATAGAAATCTTAATTTGGAACTAGAGTCTCATAGAAAGGTGAAACTTGAGAGGGTAGGGAACCAGTCAGAATCCCTGCTTCCCTCCAGTCAGTCATCCT